GGGGGCCCCCGGGAGCGCGCGGCGGGCGCCAGGGCGGGGCCGGGCCCGGCTGCGGCGGCGGCGGCGGCGGGTGGCAGCCTGGTTCCCGCGGCGCGCCAGCAGCACTGCACGCAGGTGCGCAGCCGGCGGCTCATGAAGGAGCTGCAGGACATCGCGCGCCTCAGCGACCGCTTCATCTCCGTGGAGCTGGTGGACGAGAGCCTCTTCGACTGGAACGTGAAGCTGCACCAGGTGGACAAGGACTCGGTGCTGTGGCAGGACATGAAGGAGACCAACACCGAGTTCATCCTGCTCAACCTCACCTTCCCCGACAACTTCCCCTTCTCGCCGCCCTTCATGCGGGTGCTCAGCCCGCGCCTGGAGAACGGCTACGTGCTGGACGGCGGCGCCATCTGCATGGAGCTGCTCACGCCGCGCGGCTGGTCCAGCGCCTACACCGTGGAGGCCGTCATGCGCCAGTTCGCCGCCAGCCTGGTCAAGGGCCAGGTAAGCTGGGAGGAGGCCGGGGGCGCGCGGGGCTGGCCCCTCGGCGCTCTCGCTCCTGGTGCGCGCGGGGCTGTGTCTCTACCCCAGCCTGCCAAGGGGAGACGTTCCCGAGCGCCTCCGCTTCTCTTCCCTGAGCGTTTTCTTCTTTCCCTACTTTTCCATCCCGTCTCTGCGGGTCTCCCGCTTGTTCCCGGTCGGTCCCCATCTCTCTAGAATCCGCTCTCTCCCTCTCCGCACACCCTCCTCTCTTTTCTCTTCTGCTGCTTCTCCCCTCTGGCTCTGCTCCTCTACCCTCTGCCCTGATCTCCTGACCCGCTGTCCGCGTGTGCCCCTCCCTCTCCTCCTCCTCCGCCCCCGCCCCAGGCTTCCGCTCTCTCCCCCTCCCCCTCCCTCTCCCGTTTACCCCCTTCTCCTTTTCCTTGGCTTCTCCGCATCTCCTGACCCCACAGTCTCCCTGAGGGTGGAACTTCACGTGGACTTAGGAATCTAAGTATCCGGCCCAGTTTATTGCCCCCTTCCCTGCCACACACGCAAAGTTTCCCCCCCCCCAACAACAACTCAGGGGGGCTCTGCAGGTGGGGGGCTCTGCAGAGGGCCTGCTGCCTGCTGGTGAATCTGCTCCCCTGCTCTGCCCCCTCTTGACCAGCATGTAGCGCAAAGGTGAAAATTTTGCTCTTGAGAAATTTCACTGGAGAGGCAGAGGTGTGGTTTGAGTGTGACAAGGCCAGATGACCTCAAGGAAATGCATGGTACCTGGCTCCTTCCAGGACCATCACCTTCTGGGTAGTTGTTCAAGGTCTTGGTCTCTCTCAGACCTGTTTCTTCCTTCCGGGTTACCCCTGCCCCGGAGGGTTAAATCCATTATCAGAACTAAAGATTTTTAACTAAATACTGAAATCAGGGGCAGGCTTGGTGCCTGAATCATCTCACCTATTGCACCAGACGGCAGCTTTACCAAAAGAAACCCCAGAGAACTTGAGAGCAGAGAATGAATGAATCTTCTGAAATTTGTCCCCCCCCCACCACCAGCTGCAGGCAGAGGCATGATGGTTTTATCTTCCCACATTATATGCTCCTGATCATGTTCAAGTTGGTTGATGTTTTCCCAAATCGCTATTGAACATTACTTAATAAAATTATAATTTAATATGGGCGTCTTTTAGATTTATGAAGAATCCCTGTTTTGTTTAGGAGTCCCAGAATGACCTCGATTTGATCTTTCTACAGCTAGCATTTCAGAAGCCATCAGTCCCCTGTCACCTGCCTCTGTCCCTTTCACGGCAGGATCTTTCACACTAATCAAATAATGCTTGTTCTGCCAATTTCACTAGAGGTGGAGCCCCTGGGGTTCCAGGCAAATCGCATTGTGACTCCAGTGGAGAAAGGCACTTAATTCTTGACTGAGGTCTGTTGTTACCAAGTACTATCTTGCTAGTCCATCTTTTCTGGGGTTTAGCTTCCGCTTATTTCTCGCGTTCGAAATAGGAGGGACGTGGCGGCTCTAGAAAGGTGAGGTTTAATGCTTTAACATCAGAAATTCAGTCTGAAGCCTGTGGTTCAGCGCTGGCTCTGATGTGAAGAGCCTGTGATTCGATACCAGCCACGGGGGTGGGAGAGGGTCCCGGTTTATGTTATTATCAGGATTTATACAAATGATGGGGAAAAATATTTTGCAGAAATGCTTCTGTTATTTTTTCTGAAAGCACTGCTAATCAGAACTCTCTGGAACACTCTCTTACCTTCTTTCATTCTTCACAGAGATGACTTTGGGGATGAGGGGCAGAGGAATATCATTTTGCCTTATAATCGCAGAATCATAGCATTTAGATTTGGAAGAGATCCTCAACCACAGCCTGCATTTTGAAAGATGTAGGAAAGTAAAGATTTCAAATGAGAAATAAGGACTTTTTTTTTAGGAGAGATATATGTCAGTAAGTTAAGTGTTTTCCATGTTCACATGAATGCTATGATTGATAGTTCTCTTGGTGCCCCTGCCCTTCTATTAAATTAGGCAGGTCCTTGTGTATATATGTCTTTTCTTTGTAATCCAAATTGAGAATCTTCATACAGTCAGCAAGTCAGAGACCTTATTGTTGAAAGTAATTATCAATATTTTTATTTATTAATTTCAAAATCTTACTTAGTTGAACTCAGGGCCCTCCATCTAGCATATTGTGTTATATCACTTATTCTAAAGTCTAGTTATGAAATATCTGAAAGGGAGGTGAGTACTCAGCAATTTATAAAAATACCAATTCAGTTTCTTTGCACTTTTCGTGCTGACTTCAACATCCAAAAGAGAGTCGTGTAGGATATACACAAACAACTCGAAATGCAGTGTAAGAACAGGAGGCATGAATGTTCATCAGTGTTTCAGGATTCTGTGCAGGAAAGGATCCTAATAGTGTCTCAGGGCCCTCAGTGTTATGGTGCCTTTCCTGCTTTTGTAAATTTCCTACCTACAGGTTGTTCATTGCACTTACTGCAGTTACCGAATTATTTCCGTAGTTGAAGGTAGTTAAAGGACTTTGGGAAAGCAATCAAAATACCTGATTAGGTATTCAAAGAGAATCAAGAGTGCTACCAAACCAATGATTACTTTAAAAGGCAGAACCGTTCCGTTCTAGTTACATTCCTCCATCTGTTGGCACTTTCGTTTTTCTTAAGCAATGAGATTAGAAAAGGCTCGTTTTCCTCTTTCATAACTACTAAGTGTAACTTTCTGAATTGGGGATATCCTAAGTTGATTTTGTTTCTCTGCCTTTAGAGAAATCATAAAATACTTTTAAGGGTTTCATTGGTAATATTAAGAAAAGATCTGCTTAACCATTTTGTGTATAGTATTAATGTTTGCGTTTATCTCATGGTGTGACAGATTCAGTCATTTCATGAGACCTTTACCTGACTTTTGGGGCCCATGTTATCAAAATCTCTCTTGTGCTACCTTATGGATTGTGGTTGTTTTAAATTAACTTAAAACTTTCTTGTATGATATATTCTTTGTAGAGATAATGACATACATACCTTGCCTATTTGTTTATTACCGAATCCTCTTTTGACTACAAAGAGACATTTTAGGTAACCCTTGGATCCTGCAATTAAATGAAAACTCCCCGTACCTGGGAGGGTCCTGCCCAGGCTGGGCCTCGGCGTTCACTGGCATGTGTACCAGGTCTCGCACCTGGGCTGATTGATGATGCAACAGAGACCCTCTCCTTGCAGCTGTGTGACCAGAAGGCACCCAAAAGTAGCTTGAGGGCGCACTAACTCGGGGTTCTACTTTCACATCACGCCTCCTGAGTGTCCCCTTTTTAATTAGTTAGACATCGCCAGGGGCAGGGAACCAGACGGCACTTGGAAGACAGTTCCTTACTCCTCCTCTGTCCCCTCAGTGCCAACCATGCGCCTCAACCCAGCATGAGGACGATGTGGCAATAATAGCAGTGGCATTTACTGTTTGCTCCATGCCAAGCTCTGGGCCAGCGAAGCACTTAGGGTGTTAACCTTACCTGATTCTACTGTTTCCATGGTCACTGTACAGGTGAGGAAACCTCAGCTCCACGCGGTCAGGTGAAATTAATGCAGCCTCGTGTTCTGACACTAGCAATGAGTGCGAGCCTCTGAATACCAGTCCACATTAGTAAAAGTCAGCGACGGCAGAGTCACACCCAGGCCACCTGAGCCCCTGGCCGTCTCCAGCCAGTGGTTGGCGGTGACCGGTGTGATCATCATTTGTGTCCACAGAAGACAGGTACACAGTCAGCTGTCAGCAGAAGAATGAAGACAACAGGACTAAAACACCTTCAGTTCTTAGTGTTTGAATTAAAAATTGCTAAGCGATTCCGGAAGAGTTATGTTTCCTGACAGCACTAGTTTCTGGAATTTTTGAACACAGAAAGCTGGTAGATGTTGCCACGTGTCAGTGTGTGATGAAGAAGTAACAGGCTCTGCAGATCAGCTCTGTTTGACGATAAAGTGCATCTCTGAGGTCGACTTTAGGGCTTAAAGTGTTCTGCACCATGGGTGTCACTGAGAATCTTGCACACGGGCGCACACACACACACACACAGCCTGTCTTCAGAGCCTCTTCCAAAGTACTAGGCCTGGAAATAGCTTTTTACTTATGGCTACACAATCTCCAGGTCTTATCAGAAAAAAGTAATGAAGATAAACAGCCTTGTGGGTTCCTAAAGTTTATTGGCTTCTGGACTATTATAATTCACACAACGTTTTTGAAAGCCCTGTGTGAGTGTGCTAGGGCTACTGTCACAAAGTCCCACAGACTGGCGGGCTTCAACAACAGACATTTACTTCTCACAGCTCCAGAGGCCGGAAGTCTGAGCTCCAGGTGAGAGCAGGGTTGGGTCCTTCTGAGCTCCAGGCCTCGGCCCTTGGCTTGCAGACGGCCATCTTCTCCCTGTGTCCTCACGTGGTCTTCCCTCTGTGCCTGTCTGTGTCCTAATCTCCCCTTCTGGTGAGGACACCAGTCATATTGGATCAGGGCTCCATCCTAATGACCTCAGTTTAACGTGATCACCTCTGTAAAGACCCTGTCTCCAAATACAGTCACCTTCTGAGGTGCTTGGGAATAGAACTCCAACATATCAATTTTGAGGGATCACAGTGCAGCCTATAACAAGCCCAAACAGGAATTTCTTAACCAATCCAACCTCTTATTTCTCTAGAGGCTATTGCTGGTTTGCAAAGTAACATAAATGATGCCCATCCGTGTGAACACAGGACCACACCGAGGAGACCCCAGGAGGGCCTACGTGGAATAGAGAGATGGTGGCCGCTTTAAAGGGAAGCTGGGAGAACCTAGCGTGTGAACCGTGACAGCCAGGGGGTGGGTCCTGCCATGTGACTCACCGAGGAGAGTGGATTTGTGGAGGAGTCTTATGAGTCAACCGTGTCGTTGTGTCCTGTGCCCATGTGTAGGTGACGGAGGTCATTACCACACAGGATGACTCTGCAGCTTGAAGTCTCCATGTACTCGATGG